TGGGATCAGGGATGGATCCAGGATGGGATCGGGAATAAATCCCAAACCCGATGGATTTATGGGAAATGGGATTGGGAATAAATCCCAAACCCAATGAATTTATGGGGAATGGGATCGGGAATGGGATCAGGGATGGATCCAGGATGGGATCGGGAATAAATCCCAAACCCAATGGATTTATGGGGAATGGGATCGGGGATAAATCCCAAACCCGATGGATTTATGGGGGAATGGGATCCGGGATGGGATCAGGGATAAATCCCAAACTCGATGGATTTATGGGGAATGGGATTGGGAATGGGATCTGGGACGGGATTGGGAATAAATCCCAAATCGGATGGATTTATGGGGAATGGGATCGGGAATGGGATCGGGGACAAGATCGGGGATAAATCCCATTCCCAATGGATTTATAGGGAATGGGATCTGGAATGGGATCAGGGATGAATCCCAAACCCAATGGATTTAAGGGGGAATGGGATCTGGGATGGATCCGGGATGGGATTGGGAATAAATCCCAAACCCGATGGATTTATGGGGAATGGGATCAGGGATGGGATATGGGATGGGGTATGGGATGGGATCGGGAATAAATCCCAAACCCAATGGATTTAAGGGGGAATGGGATTGGGAATGAGATCTGTGATGGGATGAGGGATAAATCCCAAATCCGATGGATTTATGGGGAATGGGATCGGGGATGGATTGGGGATGGGATCGGGGATAAATCCCATTCCCAATGGATTTAAGGGGGAATGGGATTGGGGATGGGATTGGGGATAAATCCCAAACCCAATAGATTTATAGGGAATGAGATCTGGAATGGGATTGGGGATAAATCCCAAACCCGATGGATTTATGGGGAATCAGATCTGGGATAGGATCGAGGATAAATCCCATTTGCTATGGATTTAAGGGGGAATGGGATCGGGAATGGGATCGAGGACGGGATCGGGAATAAATCCCAAACCTGATGGATTTAAGGGGGAATGGGATCGGGAATAAATCCCAATCCCAAATGGATTTAAGGGGAATGGGATCAGGGATGGGATTGGGGATAAATCCCAAACTCGATGGATTTAAGGGGGAATGGGATCTGGGATGGGATCAGGAATAAATCCCAAACCTGATGGATTTAAGGGGGAATGGGATCGGGGACGGGATTGGGAATGAATCCCAAACCTGATGGATTTATGGGAAATGGGATTAGGAATAAATCCCAAACCCAATGGATTTATAGGGAATGGGATCCGGGATGGAATCCAAGCATTCCCTGTTGGGTTCATTCAGGATTCGGTTCCTTTTTG